GTAGTTTTTTAAGTAGTAAAAAGAAGTAGTGTTCATGTCATTTTAACACTGTCGTAGCCTTTACTGCAGTACTTTACTGCAGTACTTTTAGTAAGTACGTAGTAAGTTCATTTTAAAGGCAAATGACATCTTTTCAGTTATATAACCCGCTGCTGTCACTGTATTATACTGAATGGTCGAGGGAGTCGACTTTGAAAGATCAGTCCAAACAGTACTGCTGACGGGTCCTTTATATCTCGTCTTTGAGTTTGATATGATGAGCTGTATAAATTAAATTTATTTTTTATTATTATTAATATTAAAATGTAAACATGTTCCATGGTTAGATTATTATGCATTACAAATAAACACACGCGCACACTCAACTTACTCAAATATTCTTGTAACACTGGTAATAAATCCATCGACCAGGGTTCAAAAGATGCGACACCTAAAAAAGAAAAAGGAAAAAAAAATAGGTTAACCATGTTAAAGTAGTCAGTAAAAAAGAAAAATACACACACTCTCTATCTAAACATCCTGAACTTCATCTAGATGCTAGTCCACACGTTCAAAAAGCACCTGTTTTTCAAAATCACCAAGAGTCAGATTTGACCTTGTGGTGTCTTCACTGTCGAACTGCCTGATTGAATAGTTAAGAAAAGAGATTATTTCTGCTTTTTTTTTTTTTTTTTTTTTTTTTTGTGATGCTGCGTGTCACAGGCAGAGCCAGGTTCAAATACAAAGCCAAACCTGCTGGGCCTCACAATAATACAGAGTGTGCCAGAGGGAGCGCACTGTCTTTGACAGCCACACTGGCTTTGTCCAAGTCTGCTTTTGTCTCCAGAGTCTTAATTCATCCCAGCAGTTCACCCCTCACTCTTATCATCCACACATACCTTCAGACTGGAGACTTCATGGTTCAAGACCAGAGTGAATCCCGTGCGCCATCACTGGAACCAGAGCAGGGGTCTCTCTCTCTCTCTATCCTTCTTTCTCTCTCTCTCTGTTCTCCCTCTCTCACTCCACGTCTATCGCTCTTTATCAACTCTTCTCCAAAAGTTCACACCAAAACCATGTGTGCGTCATGCGCACTTTCCTCCATCCAGTGTCCTCCTCTCTCTACTTCGGACTTCTCCGACTTTTACGCACAACTTTTCCCGTTGTTCCTCTTCCTCTTCTTCCTCTTTTTTTATTTTATTTTTTGGCGGTTTGAGTTTGTCGCAGCTGTTGCTGTTTAGTGTTCGGAGGCGGCTCGCGGTCTCAGATGCGGCTCGGTCAAACGGAGTTGCCTCCGGTTTCCAGCCATGTCTGGACTGTCACATTGTGTGACCATGCATGAGTGAGTCCACAGAGTAATCAGCCTGCGGTCGGGACTTACAACCACGCCCATGTCACCCCCTGTCACCAATGCCACACACCCTTAACTTCCCTCACCCCCACCCCCCGGCCCCAAACAGAAAATTTAATTTAGCAATCACCAACATAACTGTAAAAGTGTCTGATAATCCCTGAAGGAATGCGAAAGAAAAAGCCAAATATTTAATAATAATATTGAATATTCTGTCCTTTATCACCCTAACGTGCTGCAGATCCTGGAACTTAAGATACGTCACATCAAATTTGCAATAGTAAATCTAGAGTTATTAATCTTGAATTTATATATATATATTCTCAGATATACTTAAAAGACCATACATTCATTTTTAAAGATTTATTTGTAACACAAAAGTCACAAAGAGCAAAAGAAAAAAAAGTTCAATAATCAAAGTGCAAGTGTAATAAAATATATTCAGTAGAAACACAATCAGAATTAATTATATTAATAGCACTTCCTTCTCAGTGTTAAAAACAGATTAAGTAGACCTGACAGGAAACGTGTCCTTCATCAGTATCAGGTTCTTCTTCGTCGTTCTCTGGTTGGGATGAGTTTGTTTCTCAGCTCTTTGCTTGACACACCCCCCCCCAACATCCAATGTGTTTAGTCTGAAATGAGGCACATCCCGAAAGGTCCAGCAGGTGTCAGTACATTAACATATGTAACACCACTAGCCGGAAAAAAAAAATAGAAGCAGGAACAGGAACCTTCGTCCCAGTGTTTTCAAAGCAGAGTTAGAATGAAAAACCGAAATGTGAAAAACAACAAAAACAAAAATAATAAAAAGGGAGGTTTTTTTTAAGTCGTTGTAAAAATTCTGAAATAAGCCATTGGTATAATCAGGAGGCAAAAACAAACATTTTCGATCTTCACAAAATTCAAGTTTCCTCACAGGGTTTTATGTAACTGCGTCACGTGATTATTGATTATATCTGCATGTCCAGTTGAACACGAATATTTCACATTTCTATTCTCCCTTTCCTGCAAAATAATGAAAATAAACATTCCTTTTATAAAGCTAAACTTCAATTTCCAACACCTCCATTTCAAGTAGACCAAAGATTTGACCAAACAGCAAATCCATTAAACAACTGCAGTGATTGTTTTAAGATAAAACTTAATATACAAACGTCTCAGTCCCGTGCTACGTCTGACCTTCCACCATTTCCAGTGACATATTCACACAAATCCAAAATACATCGCTGATAGAAAGCATAAATGTTTATAGTAATTTTCTGTGCTACAGTCACTTTGATTTTTTTTTCAGCGTGTTTGAACATAAGCTGCGGAAAACTACACGATAAATATAACTTAACAAAAATCCTTTCACAACATTTGTTGTTCCATCATTTAACACTAAACGGATTCACCAGCAGGTGGCGGTGGAGACTCAGCTTTAGTGAATTAGCCCACTTAAGCGTCATAATGTTATTAACGTTAACACTCGAAACTAAAAAAAAAAACATCTCTATAAAAGTTTGTTGTGTATGCCATTGTCAGTTTGTAATGTTTTTAGCATCTTTGGAGCATGATTTTATAGGTAAGTACACTAACATACGTCGACTTACTGGGGGGGAAAAAACTCCGCGTTTTTTAACACAAATAGAGAGAGTCGCAAATTGACACATTTAAACTTACTCGACGAGGTAACCGTATATAAATACCTTCTGTCCAATTCTGTTGGTGTCTATTTAAAAGTTGATATGGAATGTAAGTCGTTTTTGAAGTTTTAAACTCAACTTTCCCTCTTTCGCTAACACGTCACAGACAGGCTAACCTAGCTAAGCTAGCTTTGCTTTTTGTTATATTTTGAATTATCTTGTTTCGTTCTTATTCGCAGCTAGTTTCCATGTGTAGACCATTGGAGTTAACCGTCGTCTGTCAATTCCACTAGTAACCACAGCAAACCCACCAATAGGAGGGTTCATTCTCTCATTTATCTTATTTTCTTCAGGTGTTGTTGAATAAGTAATGAACGTTTCACACCTGTTGTTACTTGACATCATAGTTGTAATGTTTGTAAAACTTCAACATCTGAAAAAGAACTAGCGTTGGTTTTCCTTCATGTTCCTCCTTCAACACATGGTCTTGTTGCTGGTTGAATCTGTCTGGGTGGAGAGCAACATGTCGTTCTTCTTGTTCTGCATCAGGTCGTGATCACGCCTCACGCTGTCGGTGTAATGATGGTTGAGGTTACCTTTCAGTTTAGCCCTGGCCGAGCACCTCATGAGCGCTTTGCTGATGAGGTAGCAGAGCTCTGCCACGTTCAGGATCATGCAGATGGCTGACGAAGACACCATGAAGATGGTGAAGACCGTCTTCTCTGTGGGCCTGGAAATAAAGCAGTCCACCTTGTTGGGACAAGGCCACTGCTCGCACTTGACAAGCCGGGGCATCTGGAAACCATCATAGACGAAGTACAGTGCGTACATGAAGCCACCCTCAAAGATGAGTCTGAAGAACAAGCTCGAGGTGTAGGTCCACCACAGAGGACCAGTGATCGGTAAGCGCCTTTTCTTCAGTGTTTCCAGGTCTGTGTCTGTCATTTTCTCCGTGCCGTTGGAGGCCAGCATTGTCTTCTTATCTCCACGTTTCCTGTAGGCCACGTGCATGGCCACCAGCAGAGCCGGCGTGGACACAAAGATCAGCTGAAGGCACCACAGACGGATGTGGGACACAGGAAAGAAGTGGTCGTAGCAGACATTCTTGCAGCCTGGCTGTTGAGTGTTGCAGGTGAAGTCGGACTGCTCGTCTCCCCAGACGCTCTCTGCTGCCAGGACCAGGATGGTGATGCGGAAGATGAAGAGGACAGAGAGCCAGATCTTTCCCAGACTGGTGGAGTGTTTGTTTACACCTCCCAGCTGGGCGTACAGCGCCCCCCAACTCATTTTGGAAAAGAGGACTCACTCAGAGGTAAAGGGGATCTGGGGAGAGAAACAGTAGAAAGTTAACAGATCTTGAAATTCTAACCCAGTGTGTTGGCAACAGTTCTAAATTGTGGCTAAATGCTTTGCTTCAGTACCAAAAGCCTCCAGTAGGCAAACTCATGTGAGGGAATGGCACAGATCGTAAAACTGATTCCAGTCAGAGAGGTGCTTAATATACAGCTATAGCATTGTGAACATGACAGAAGGATATCAATTAGACTCTTCAAGTAATTAATGGTTTGAAAACAGTGACACAGTCTGGTGAACAGTCGGGAGACTGAGCATGAGGTAGACGACCTAAGGATGCTGGGAGTTTTATATCCAGGTACGTCTCGATAGTGTATGTTTGTGAATTATTATCATTAACGCCATTTTAATAACATCTGTCATGTAGTACAATTAAAACGTTCTTTAAAATCCCCACTAAACATTAAGCCTTATTCATAAAGGAAAGTTACACAGATTTTGCGATTTTCTGTCATGCGTTAAACTTCAACATTAACTAATTTAAAGGCAAATGCACTTGACAAATGAAACACGTTTTCCATTCAAACTCTTCCATTTGCGGTATTTTACTGTATAAGTGTAATATTTTATGGTTTATTTTGGCAGTCTGAAATTTTTCCTTGGTAAATAGAGACCCCACTGTGACAAACACTAATTAGCAATACACTTGTCAATACACTTCACAGAAGTATTGTAAGGTGGGGTGAAACCCAGTGACCACTGCAGCCAAGTACCCCACTCTGAACCGGCACTCCCAACAGGCATTTACGACTTGTCTCACTGTTGAGTAATAGCTTTTTCAGAGAAGAATTTCCTCTTAAATTTGACTTTGATACCTAATATACTGTCAGGAGGACAGGGTTTGTTACAGTTTAGAGGAATTTGAATTTAAATATTTAGGGGAACAAATGACTCAGACTTACCTCTTTATGTAGTGTTATACACGGGGAAAAAAGTATCAATAGTGTTCCATGTAGGGGAAAATCAATATTCCTTCACTGTTGCCTGTTGGTCCAATCTGAGTCTTTGTGGCAGGAGTTGGACGTTGGCTCTGGAGCCTGACGCACCTGAGTCTGTTCAGGTTTTACATTGAGCCTCCTGAAGACATGCGGAGGGAGGGGTTAATGGACACGGGTGGGGCCGTAGTTAGAAGAGGCGGGTTTCAGGTCGAGATCAACGATGAATCACAGCCTCCAGAGGAAGATGTGGCGCAAACCTTGGTTTTAAACCCGTCTGTCCGGAGCTGTTTCACAATTGTTGTCATTGTTTTTAACAGTCACACGTCAGGACAAACAGTCATACTCCAATGTAGGAGCAGCAAGTGGAAAAGGAAATTATTATCAGTTATGGGCATCATCATTGAGCTAACTCACAGCATTTTAATTTTCAGTATTAATGGAAGTTGGTAAAGTTTTTTTATCTAGATATTAAATTAATGATTAAATGAGTAATAATGGCTAAATGTTCTATAAACATTTTTAATTTGACAAAATCTTTTCAATAATTTAGTAATCTGCAAAGTACAATGCTGTACAGCAGAGGAGAAAGATAGAAACACAACAGATGGAAAGAAATATAGACAAGACGTGTGGAGGGCAGATGCTAGAAGAGAAGCATGTTTTTCCATTCTGAGTTTGAATTGTCACATGTATATGTAGGTCAAACAAAGGCATGTGATCGTCACTCCGCTCCATTCTCGACGTAAAATTAAAATCTGCAACAGTCGCAGAGCAGAACAATCACAGGCAGACCTGGTGACTTGATTTTCACGCAGCAGCGATTCTCGGTATTTGAGTGAAGTTGACAGAGATTCACTGGCTGAAGTCTTGAGAGACAGCAGACACACAGTGACAGTCGCTTAACTCAGTTCGTAACAACAAATTATCCACAGCCTCAGTCGGAGAAAAAAACGGTTAAGAAAAGGGGGCACTTCATTTATTCATTATCATGTTATACTGATGTCTTTTTTTTAACAGTCTCTCAACGTGAGGACTGTTTAGTTTCTGAGAAGGCTTTGTCCTTCTCCTTCTTCAGCTTAGCCAGTCCCATGAGGAGCTGGTCCCTCCTGTCCTTCCTGGCCAACAGATGCTCCTGGTCACTGGGAATCAGCTCACACATTTCCTGTGGGAGGGAGGAAGGGGGGAGTAAGAAGAAAGTTCCTTTTAAATTCACTGGATTTATTTATTTTTAATAATTTTGCATATCCTAAATTTCAGTTGTTTGAAGACAAAACACAGAATAATTTTTGTCTAACATTATTAGATGTTTAATTTGGAATCTAATCACCGGCTGTAATGGACTATTTGGCGTACCGGAACCAGCCCGCAGGCCACAAATTGATTATCACCCCTATATTTTTTGCGTTTAATTCTCTGCTACTATGAAATATTTTTCTCATGCTCTTAATGTTGATTGGTTATATACCAATTTTTTTATTACTTTCTCTGTTAACGTTATGCCATTTTAAATATATTTAGCTTAAATATTTGTTCTAAAAATCTTTACATTTTCTTAATTTTAGCATCACCTTTAAACCAGCCTTTACCTAATATGTTGTAGTTTGGAATGTTTCAAACTATTCACGTGTTCTTCAGTCAGTTGAACTTCTTGACTTACTTTTGGACTGGTAACTATTTAACTTTTGGTTAACTTTCCAATCCCCAGAAACAACTGAAACCATCTTTAGTTAATTTTGGGTTAACTTATAGTTATCCCTGGAGCAAAACCTGAAAACCTGTTAAACACTTTCATCACCCATTGTACACCAGGGCAATTCCAGGGGGTGGGTCATTTGGCTTTTACATTAGAAAACAGTTCACTTCCCAAGCAAAACAAGCAGAAGTAGGTGAAAGTTTAGTGAAGTCATAAATACTGTAGGTTGTTCGTGGCTCGTGTCGACAGTGGGGTGACAGGACGGGTTGGTTAAAATGGTGCAGCCTCTAATTTGCAAAAACACTCCCAGATCACCTTAAACTCTCTAAAGGCTGCAGATGAAACTAAAGAGACTAGATTTTCTCTAAAGCCTTCTGTCTCTAGGGGGAAATAATCTGTCCTGGTTCTCCCGCCTGTAGAAGTTATTTAGGTTATTGTTGTTGGTCTTTACATTCCACATACCACATCATATACCTCCGAGCTGATTTACAGCAGCCTGGAGGCTTTTAGAATTAAAATGACACTTTTAAATTGTTGAACGCATTCACAAGCCTCTAGGGTAGGGGTCTCAAACTACGCCCCGGGGGTCATTTCTGGTCAACAACCCTGCATATTTGGTCTGATTAAGTCAAAAATAAGCCAAGAGAGGCAAACATTATCTTCTGATGGATTAAAATCAACATTTTTGGAGTCTTTGATTTGACCTAGAGAATCTTGATGCTAGTCCAAAAAAAGAAAAATAGCTTAAAGTAACTGACCTAAAAAATATGTTCCATGTGGTCAAAAGGTGTTACTGCAACAGCTTGGCAGTAAAACAAAAATAAGTGACCGTTTATTGTCCTGCAGAACCGTCCACTAAACCATTTATTGTTGTGGATTAAACTTCCTCCACACCGCGACCTTCTGTTGTTCACACTTTAACAGCCTGTGACGACATGTGACCAACAGTGGTCAAAGTGTCGGAGTCAGTCACGCACAACCAGGGACACCATTCAAAGAAACATTTTACTCCGTTTAGCACAATCAGGAAACACAGTCGCTCTTACTTTAACGATTCCCTGGGCTTGTTCTCCATCAAAGTCTGGAACCGGTCCGAAGGATTTCACCACCCGGGAAATACCTCCGCTGTATCGATTGATGTAGTCGTTCAAACCTGTAGGAAATGAGCAATTTAAGAACATAGAACACAGAGGTTTTTGTTTCACAGCTGCTTCTATCATTCAGCATAAATCTATTTTTTTATCTATTGTTTGTCAAACCTTCGGTCATCATTTTTTAAATTTACTAAATAAATACAATGTCAAAATATTAGGCTGTGATAAACCAAATGCTACTGTTTATGGCTGGGCTTAAATTGTGGATTTTCTCTATAGATTTTGGTGCAGGAAAACATACCAAAGTACAAACTTTAGCATTTGCCCAAAAGGTATTACTTGAAGGTACTGTTAACTTTACCTAATCACTCTTTTGATTAAGATATAAATATTCATTAAAGGGCTAGTGCTTGTTTTTTAAAATATAATATTTTACAACATATATGTCCATAAAAATAAAAATACAAGCCTATGTGTTCAAGCCTTATTGTAATTTAACCTAAATTAATAATTGGACAGAGTGCATCATAAACAGACTCAGATGTTTGGTTTGTTTGCATTCCTGTGATAAGAGACGCTAAACACATGTAATAAAATAGGAGGAAAATTAAAGACTGAGGTCACAGTGAGTCGGGAAGGTCAGAAGGTCAACATTTAAACTGACTCTGATGCACTCACATGAAGTTTCACACCGAATAGTGAAACGTCCAGATTTGACTTTCATGTTCAGTTCAAGGAATTACATGAACCATGAGGTTTTGGATGAAACAAGCAATTAAAATGTTGACAGTTTTAACGAAGTCAAGGAGAGAATCATTGTTATAATAGTAAATGTAATACAAATAATCAATAATAATAAAAAGCTTTGTGCCGCAGGTATATACAGTAGGTATGATCTTTAAGGATGGGTTCATCAAAGGAAAAGGTTATTTGGGTTCTACATGTTACTGACAGTGATTAATGTTGATTTAAAAAAAGAGAGTAGTAACTGTGTTTTTAGGAAATGGGTACCATTTATTTATTTAGGAAATTTGTACCAACTAGTCCCCTGTACAGGAAGTTTATTTAATCTAATATTGTATTATATTTTTTAAATGTTGAAGTCTAATGTCTAATGTGAAGACAGTGTCAGTTTAAAGACTTTTCGTAATTGTGCTTTTATTTTGAAATAGCTTTGCGTTAAAGTAAATGAAACTGGCTCTGATCCTGTGCCTGCTCGGTGTCCTCACTGTGGTTTGGGTTAAGTTCACACACACACACACACTGCACTGGTACCACCTTTATAACACTGGCCTTCCAGTTCACTACATATTGAGACCCCACCTAAAGTAGTAGCAAGAACACAATTGAAAAAAACTCAGACCGGTGTATCCGTAAAATGGAATTGGGGAACGCGTACAGAAGCTTAGTCAGTAAAAAGTAGAGAGGTTCAGCACTGAGGTCCCAGGTTAGAGTTGGCATCTGCTCTGAAGGCCAGAGATGTGTGAGCTTTTGTGGGGTTGGTGAGTTTTAGATTACTGGTGTGAGTGAGTGCATTCACCACAGAGCATCAAAAGGTGGCTTTGTTCAGTTTTTGTGTGTGTGTGTGTGTGTGTGTGTGTGCAAATTCGTGGGTATGTGTGTACACATAGTCCTGGACACACGATGGGTTTCACACTTACCTCTGATATTCTTCGTCTGCGTGCCGTTTCGCTCTCGGCCTCATACACACACATGCGAACACACACATGGCACACACGTGGTACAATGCAGCCATGTTGTGAAGAGACGTGTGGACCATGTGATTTTCTAACAGTGCTTAGATAAGTGAATGTCTGAGCCTCTCACTGTACAGTAGCTGTGGTACAGTGATGTCGTTTGTGAAATCCATGACCTCATGGATCCAAAATAAAGTAAAATATGACATGTGGTAAGAAGTACTACAAATATTTTTCATGTATATATTCTATTAAGCCAATATTGATCAAACCCTGTCACCTTTATTCTTTGCATATGTGTTACATTTAGTTTCAGTAAATATATGCGGGCATATGTATATATTGTGTTTACTATATGCTATACTTCCTCTCAACTAGTGGTTCGCGACCCAAAAGTGGGTTGGTAAACAACAGGTAAACAACATGATGATTTTAAATCAGCAGTCTTGCCTAATTGCACTCCTCAACACTAGGTGGCAGAAATACCCCCGTAATGTGAGTTGATGCCCCGACATTTAACGTCACAGAAGACACACTCCTCAACACTAGGTGGCAGAAATAATCTGAGTTGACGCCCCGACATTTAACGTCACAGAAGACGACATGGAATTTTTATTTACATATGCTAACTGAGCATGGCAAAGTACAGATTATATAAAATATGGATTATTTTACGTCAACGGTCGCATCTCTTTTCCTTCAATAAATTTGAAAAGTTAAAATGTTTTTCCTAAAGGCCCCTGAGGCTAGACCAGTTTGGTATTACTACGATATACTACACTACACTGTATATTTTTTGTGTAACTTACTACATAAAGCAGTGTCTTTGAATTTATGACTGAATATTTGTAAAAAAAAACGAGGTCACCTTACCTTCAGGTGCATTGAGGTGCATCGTTTCCATGGGACCAATGAAGGCGTAACGCATTCCTAACCCCTCTGACATCACTAGGTCGATGTCCTTCACTGAGATAACACCATCCTGACAGAGGAGTGAGAGGAAAACACACTCCTTATCTTATATTAATGAACAGTGTTTGGTATGTAGCGAGATGGGAAAAGCCAGTGGGTAAATTAATGACCAGACTCTCTTCACTGTCTGTACATGTGGAATTTCAGCTCTGAGTCAGGCATTTATCTGAGGGCTACAGTGACTTAGGTTTGGCCAGAAATCACATCTAAGATGTTAATTTTTTTCCCCTAGGTTTGGCCAGAAATCACATCTAAGACGTTAATTTTTTTTCCGCAGATCGATAAATAATAATTTTTTTTTATTATTCTTTTTTTTAATACGCCGGTTTAATCGTGCACAAAAACATGAACTTGAGGCACAAACCGAAGTTAAGCAGACACAGAAAAACAACCCATTTGTTGTAGGTCCGTTCAAATGATGAGGGAATGAACAGCAGAATTAAGATGTTTTGCAGTCAGAAATAGTGTAAATTCAAATTATTGTTTGTCGAATAGTATAGTATTGTATTGATAGTATTGTTCCGTGTCCTTCACCAAGAGAATTCATATCAGCACAGCAACGTCAAACATGGGCTTGTAATGTTCGGAGGTGCTTTCTAGGATGTTCAAGTTCAGACATTTTCAGCAATTGTTTAGCCCAGAAAATCCTGCCTAAAACCCTAGTTCTTTTTGATGCACTAAACTACATGAATCATCTAATGTTTCCATAATCTGTCATTTCTGTGTTTTTAGGATTAAGTAGGGCAGCTGAGGATGGAAAGATGGATGAATGGAAGGTGAGAAGGGAGCAGTCCAGGTACCCATGGGTCAGAGATGCCTGTTGGCTGACCAGCAGGAAATCAAAGCTGTGTTACAGATCCAGAGTCAAGACTACCAAGGACAAGGTTGTCTTTGTTAAGGTCCAGCATCCCAACAACGGGTCTGTTATTTGAGTAAAGCTGGATGTAGGGTGAAGTCCTTTCTCTGCTCTAATCACCGGGAGTGTAACAAGCGTCTTTCTCAGCCACTCTGCTTTCTGATGCTGGCCCCGAATCAAACACAGTTTTCACTGCCACTGTGTGTTTCTACAGGATGGAGGCTCAGTGTTATGTAAGAAGGGCACCCGAGCCAGTTTAAAGCCAGGGTTTAAAGGGTGAGATGAGGGGTGTCCAACCTCCTCTCAGGGGGTCAATGTCAGCATTTTAATGGCTTTTTAAAGTGATCCCTCCACTTAACTGATTTTTGGTAGCTCAGGAAAGCAGCATCCCTTCAGTAGGACAACACTTTTGTGAGTTAGACTCATCTGCTCTGACAACACCTCGGTGTTGTTTGTGATTCTTCTGTCTGTAAATCACTAGCCCAAACCTTTAGCCACAAGTTAGCTAAAAATAAGCTTATAAGCATATTCAAGAATGTTCTCCCATTTACTTGTAGCTGTGGGAAATATATCGTCTAGTTTGTACGTGTTCAGTTTGCGAAATATTAGTGAAGGCTACGTTTAAATGCTGTGTAATGGCGGGTGTCAACTTGCTTCTTTCTCCATTATTCAAATCCTCCTCTGCAGCAGTGACTAACACGACGGGAGTGAATGCGGAAAAAAACATTCATTCATTAATTTCGTAATCGAAAGTAAACCACAAATGCGATCCGAAAGCTAAGCATTTAGGCAAACACCAAAACTGCGACAGTTTGGTGTGGTATTCAACAAGTCCACTCTATAGAGATACTGAGGTTTATTCCTCCATCTAGAAGCCCCTTCTGATCCTCTTTTTCATATATTTAAGAAATAATATAATGTAATTATCTACTAATTATCAAGCGTCATCCACCCACAGCTAGGTGGAGTCCTTCAGTAACCACAGACCGTGTTACTGAAACACAGAGCATAGAAAATGAACACCTTCGCTGAATTCTTTTTTGGGACACAACCCTGCGCGATAGGTTCAACCAGGTCGTCTGATGTCGTACGATCGAGGCCCTTCTAAGATTCACACCTGACCTCTACTCCGCAGATATTCTTGCTTGCCACGAATAATCCACTCTCCCTCTTACACGCATTCCAGCGGGCTGAGACAGCGTGACACACACAACTCAATTAGACAACGACTCACACACTGAGCTTTTACAATTGAGATGGATCAGGATTTACCTGCTGCACAACTATAATGAGAGATACTTGATGACTTTGTCTAACAGGTTTATAGGTTTTCAAAAACAGTGTTGCCAGTGCCAAAATTCAATTGTGAGAGCTCCAGTAAGAGAAAATGACTGTGTCAAATTTTTAACTGATAATTGCAGCTACATCTGACAGAAACCATCTACTTTTAATTACTTTTCATTTTTTCCTTTCATTACACTTGACTATGGCTAAAGATAATAACGCTAATAACTTCATGATTGACACTCAATGTTCTATTAGCTAACAAAGTTCATTTGATAGAATGTGTTTTTCATGTCAACCTTTGTTTCAGTGTTCAGAGCTCTACTGCAGGCATTTCATGTGTAATTAATTAGTACCACACATCTACGAGGCCACCAGTGTATTTTAAGGTGAAGACATTGGTGTGATTGATTTATGAGCGTTAATGTGTTTACAGGTCGATCGCATTCTTAGTTCTCTTGCCTTGTGATCTTCTTGTCTCGGCTTTCCAACCACCACGATCTTACTTTGTCACTCTAAAGAAACCATAGGCCTGACTGTGAGCGTGATTGGTTGTTTGTCTCTATGTGTGACCCCGTGATAAACATGGTGAACTGCCCGGCGTTTACCCCAGTGTTTCCCAACGTTTTTTGAGCCACGGCACATATTTTATATTAGTATATGTAATCAAATATAATAATCTTCTAGTTTAAATTTACCCACAATTTTATTGAATCTCAGCCAGTTCAGTTGAAGATAACACGAATATACTGGCAGGAATTGAAGAAAGACACAAAGATCTTCTTCAACAACTCTGATTCTCTTTTTTTTTTTTAGTTTTCATAGCCATCTGTGGTCAGCTAGCGTATTTAATTTAACAAACAGATAAAAAATATTGGCAATAAATAAATAAAAGCTTGTTGGAAATCACTGGTTTACCCTACACTCGATCAGTGATTGCTAAGATACAGTAGGCTTCATTTTCCGCGGTGACCCTGAAAAGGATTAAACCCTGCAAGAATGATGAAATGACCTGTATCCATGCGCTAACCCTCTGTCCTCATCTTCTTGTAATTATAATCAATGCATACAGAGGTCGCTACATTTGCTTCTAACCAATGACATTGACCCCAGAGGTGGCAAGAAAAAAAAAAGAATAATTTGACTGAAGTCCTCATTGTCGCTAGTTAAATCAATATTTATATTATATTATAACAAACTAAATTTTGCTAAGTTTATTATCTGTGAGCTACAGCCTCCCACTGGAGTGCGTCTGAGCTTCTACAGCTCTGTGTGAAGACACAAATATCTCATGGTAAATGTATAGAAGCTGTGTGACTGCCTGCACAGGAATGTATCTGTATCTGCTGAGATTCCTTGAAGTGTGCTTCAGCTCCGGAAAGCTAAGAGACGCTGACATGTCAGTGCTGTTTTCGCCTCCTGGCTTTTGGCACTGAATGAGTGGGCGATGAAGAGCTTTCACCTGACTGCAGACCACTGATCTCGTCAATATACCAAGACGTTTCGTCCAAAACAAATGAATTCTGAGATATTTGGCGAGAGAGGAAAAAAATGAGGGAAAAACAAACTCAAAACAAATGAATTCTGAGATATTTGGTGAGAGAGGAAAAAAATGAGGGTGTTTTGTACAAATAGAGGACATATTTCTAAGTATTTATTTTGATCAGGAGCTTTCGGTAAATGAGCTTTGCTTTGGGCCCAGCACAGTGATGACTTAACCGTTCTAGTGCAAGTGTTTTCTTTCTTTGTTTGAGTGGACTTTAATTTGCCGTATTAATTTTGCCAGCATTTGTCCCTAAATAAACTTTGATGTCATTTGTTACATACATCCTAAATATTAATATGTCTCATTTTTTTCAGGGCTTGACCATCAATAGCAGACATCAACATCCACAACTCATTTCCTTTCGAAGACGCAGGGGGCGCTGAAGACACTACCAGCAATCTACAGGTGAGGGCAGCGTACACAGTGGACAATTTGCCGGGCCATTGCAGGGACAAACAACCATTCACACTCACATTCATTCTTATGGTGAATTTATAGTGTCCTACTCAGCTATTAAACATGGTTTTGGGCTACGGGAGGAAGCTGGAGAACCCTTAGGACATAGGATTGAACTTGATCATCAGTGATTTTTTTGCTGTAGAGGCAAAAGTTTTACCAACATTTGCCATTGATGGCAAACAACAAGAACCAATGTGAAAGAGTGAAAAGATTTTCTAATCTGTCAGATTATGCACACAAACCTCTATTCAGACAAATTCAAAGTTCAGTTGATATTTTTAGGTAAGTTGGTGATAATTGGGCAAGAGTGATACCAAAGGCAGCCACATTTGTTTATCTAAGATGCATTAGTTTAGTATTGTTTGTATTCTGTACAATAAGGTCTTGTAAAGGCTGACAATTGTGTGCACCTAAACACTAGTTTCACTTTTGTAAACTAGTATAATTATAAATATATACATACTGTACAATTAAATTACTATATAATTATACAATACATTATATATAATTTGCTTGGGAGAATAGACAAAGCATCACAACATTGGTAATCGTTGATGAGGCTGCAATATCAGTAAGTGTTCATCAATCTGCCACTTATATCTGCTGTTTTGTCTTAATGTCTAGTTTCTTAAAAAACACTGCTAAGAATATTTGTTTCTCCAAGTACCACCAGTGGTACATGCACCATACTTAGAAAAAGGGACGACAAAAGTAAAACTATATAACTCCAAAAACCAAAAACCTCCCATTACAGTAGAGTTATCAAAAGCAGGGGTTCTCAACACTAGGTCTGGGACCAGTACCGGTCCTTATGGCATTTGGTACCAAGCCGCAGTGGGACACAGTGAAAATGTACTTCAGTTTTACTAATTTACTTCATTCAAAAAGAATCCAGTCATATCCCTTTACCTAATCTAAAAATATTTCAAACAACAGGTCATTCAGACTCTGATACTAACAGAATAAAGTCTAAAAGAGGTTTTATTTTGAAAATTATTGATCCTTCTGCTGTAACGGCTGATACCGGCCGACCGGTCCTTGGTAAAAAAAACAAAACAACCAAGAACAAAAGTTGGGCACCGCTAATATATTGTTTTACCATTTTCCTTCATTGTATTGAGATTAAATTAGAGTTTAGTCCTAAATGACTTCAATAACTGTTGTGTGACAGACAGTGCAGCTGTTATCAGGTGTAACTTGCTGCACTCGTGAACATATCAACTTCACGCGGACATAAATTCCACATGCTCCTGCTCAAACCCATTAGGACTTGTGTGTCACATTCAGCCTTGTTGTCAAATTTATGGCCTTTTTGATTTTACTGGACAAACACCAAGTGAAAATTAGGTGCTATAACCTCCCCGGGAAAATACCAGAGATGTACGAGTGTTAACCGACCAGTTTACTCAGTTTGAGCAGATTCCTATCCATTCATAACCTCCTCAGACTGTTTGGTCTATACTTTTCATATTTGAAAAGAAATAAGGTTGTTGTTGTTCATCTCCTTACGAGGAATGGTGACTGGGCAGTCTTTACTATCAAGACTTGATAACGTTGGATGAACAAAAGACGATAAGGCAATAATTCGATTTTGTTTTTCTTGAACAGTAAGAAGTGGAAAAGTGAGAGGAATAAAAATCCTTTATCACTTCAAAAATACAAATAATCCATTGAACAGTTAGAGGTCCCTTTTTGTGTAACATGTAGTGTTTTGTTAAATTACACTATTCATTCATTGAATAATGCTTTAGAAATTAACTTATAATGTATATTACATAATGAATAATTGAATATTAATTATCCTGAGACTGAGACTTTGTAAATATGTTCACCTACTAAACTCAAATACAGAATTGCGACATCAGTAGTTTTTCTGGTCTGATTCCCACAGTCAGATCACACAAGGACACCTATCCTCAGAGATTAAGTATCATTTACTGCAAATCTGACCCTCGTTGGTGAAGAGCTCAGAGGCGGCAGCGGAGGAATTTCTACCTCTGCCATGAGCCACAAAAACACACAGATTTACATTGTCACCCTTACAGTAATGACAAGCAAAAGTAGAAGAAGGTGGAAAAGATGACACCGACCTGGACCAACCTCCATGACTCTGCTATGACGGCCGACTGGACCCTGTTGAGGGCAAAGCCATCGATCTCTTTCTTCAGGCAGACGGGAGACTGGCCGACCTTAAAGAAGAGAAACATGACAAGCAGCTGTGAAAACGTGCACCTTACAGCAGGTCCAGAGAGTACATTTTAACATTTTATTTCATGTCCTTTTGAATAGCAAAGTTGGCATATTTTAGACAACATTTGATCAGTTCAAATGGGTTTATTTTTGCTGTTACAGCTTTTAATCTATATTTCTTGCTCTCACTTAAACCCTGGATAATTTAGTCTGTTTTGGCTAACCATGTGCATTTTTTGTTCTATCTTGTGATCAAACTTTATGTTATTTTGTATATTATTAAGATCTTGTTTCTATTTAGCAGTAGATGGCTAACTACATGCCACTTTTGGGAGTGATGCTACATGTTTGCGCTGCACTGTAGCAGAACCCAGGAGCATTCACTGTACGTGTCTTTGCTCTTTGTTGTTGCAGCTCTCCTGTACCTTGGTCATTACAGCCTGGGTGGAGCTCATCACACCTGCTGCAGTCTCTGGGTGAGGCACCAACTCCACCAGTCTGACATAGTACGGTGGATTTACCTGTACACAAAAGAAATGGCTATCAATGAGCATTATAAAAATGCTAATTCTTCCACATACACTATAAGGTTTAACACATTTTAACAACAAATTCAAACATTTTTTTTTATTTATTACATGATGACCAAACATTATTTTACTGTGAATATGGAAAACACAAATGAGCCTGAAAGTTGTCCAGTTCTATCAACCTCACATAATTACCCCCAAAAAGCTGCCTGCACAGTTAGTGCCAACAAACTGTAATCAACTGTAATGATTTTCATTTACTTTTAAAGGGCAGAGATAAGGATGTCATTATTGTGGATTTGTGGTATCAGTTTGTTGGATATCTTTTTATGCAAATACTCGAACATGTATTTGTAGCTTCCCAATAGTGTGGAGTAAGCACAGAGACCGATTCCTCTTTGGTTTAGGTTATTTTTGAACAGGCTTTTTTTTTGTAAAAAAGAAAAAAAAACAAAACAGGCAAATTCATAACGATATATTCGACTTTCAGACTTGATAAATGGTTTCATTAATCAGCGTTAGGTTTAAATAACTTTAAAATCAGTACAGAGTGATGCAATTGACCGAAGTTCACGTTTTCTCAATTCAAACCTATAAGGAATAAATCATGGCACACGCTTGTCTTAGTAGTAAAGCACAGCAACAAAGGCATCATCGGCACTGACCGGATGAGAGACGAGGCATCGGCTTTTGTTCTGGACTTTAGAGAAGAGGCTGCTGGGCATAATGTAGGAGGTGGAGCTGCTCAGGATGACGTCCTTTCCTACAAGTAGTTCTATCTCTTGAAAGACACTTTGTTTGACTTCAAGCTGTTCAAAAACACACTCCTGAAAAACACACAAAGTGACAGGAAATCACAACAACAACAAAAAAAAAAACACGAGATACATTATTTTGTGCCACAGATATAGTAAATATGAAGGTCATCTAAATAATAACTGAATTGAGTAATTAGACACCTCCAAAAACTTATGTTGGGCAATGATTAATACGCAATTAAGCTACGTTTGTGCTAGAATTGATTATAAAAAAAGGTAAAACTGTAAATGAAACAGAAACAAACAACACATTGTGATCAATGAGCATTGGTAAAGTTCCAGTGTCATATCAGGAAATAGGAGTCTGATAATCTATCAGTTTCCTTGTGAAGCAATATTTTGTTCCTTGTTAGGAAGAACCCATTATGGAACATTACATATTTTGGCCACAATGTGCGTGTCTAGAGAGAGTGCCATTGTTTGTGGATTTAGCACTGGAGGAACTTAACACTTCACTTTCTCAGTTCATTTCAAGTGCGTCACCCATGACTGGATTAAGAAAACAGTGCACGGGTGTTGACTGCACTTGAGCTCTCACGTTGACAAAGGAAGGGATGAGTGATTTGTTGGTAAAATGTCTTGTAATTGTTTGGGCAGCAGGGTAACACTTGTGTCAAGCTCAGACTGCTGTCAGTGATAGGTTTTGTTTGTTTAAAGCTTCATTCTAGTGTATGTCAGCCCTGCAACCTCGTTAAGGTAAAGGGTGTTTAATGACAGAAGGCTACAAGGCAGACTTTTTAAGACGGATTCAAAACTCAAAATCAACCAAAAACGAATTTTAGTTCACAAGTCATGGGCCATAGTAGGTTGGGAACCACTGGACTAAACCTACAAGCTCATCCCTGTGTGTTTTTCCTCATGAATTGTTATTACAAGTGACTTGTTTTTTTTCTTTTGCACCTCGCCTTCATGGGAGATGAGAGATAAGGCGTTACGTACAGTATGTGTGTACACACATTGTCTACCTATAGATAGATGAAACCAAACAGTGGCTTTTCTGTACCATTACTGCACTACTATTTATAGCATGATGTGTGAGGCCATGTTTAAGAACTAAGTTAGATTATTTACGACAGTGATTTATATCATCATCCAATGAAAAAAAATGGAAACTGCAGCCCATGGTTTAAAAGAATAACTCGACTTCATCTGTCACCACCCAGGCCCAAGGTGAACTATAAATAAGTTTCCAACTGCCTTTTTAACTCA